ATAGGAGGGACCATCCTCCAACGTGGCCTGCTAGTGCAGTAACTACTGGATCTGAGGATTATTGAAAGATCTAATGGGACCAGTTGTGACCGCATGACTGGGTAGCTTGTACCAAACGCCAGCTGATTGTGACATGGTTTATTTTTTTATCATGATAAAACATTGTTCTATTCAAACAGTAACCATTACACTGGTTAAAGACATTAACCGTTACACTGGTTAAAGTGTCCTCTTATTTGGGCCTCTACAGAACACAAAGTAGTAAATTGATGAAGAATCTCATCCAGCCATTTCTTGAAAGAAGCCAGGGTATGGGCTTTAAGAACATGGCTGGGCAGCTTGTTCCATATTCTCACAATCCTCTGGGTAAGAAAGTGCCTCCTGTTTTAAATCCACTTCCACCTGTGTTCCTGTGTGTTCTGTGCCCCAAGAGAGAGATAAGAAGTTTTCAAATATATTATTACTAAATACAGGGCATTTGTCTGGTGTTTTTATAGTACATACTGGCTATATTAAATATAAGGTATGTCCTCTGGTTTGTGTTTCATCTTTCAAAAACTAAGAGCTGTAAGGCTCAGATCGAACTGCACTGGTCAATGATGAATGTGTGTTGGCTCTTGTACTTATATAAAATATTTACATATAAATCATCCTAGATGATTTCCTAGTGCCCCTTGTTTTGGGCATGCTAGCAGTCCACATTTGGATTTTTCTTTTCTGTGGCATAGGATTTTACACTTTAATAATAATTAATTGTTTTCTTTATCAGGTTTGCTGTGGAACCTATCCTCCCATGACCTCCTGAAAGATTATCTTGCCAAAGAGGCCCTCCAGACTATCACAGACACAATCATTATCCCGTGCTCAGGGCTGTCAGATGGAGACTATCCAAAGGAAGACCTGCTGGTGGATCCAGACCTTTTCTACAATGCTACTGGCTGTCTGCGGTATGTAACCTCTAAGTATGCGCTGCGATGACCTTAGATAACCCCATGGCCAACGAATCTAGCTGGACCTAAAAGCCTCTAATTTCACTGCCTTTTTCTACATTCCAGTGTTTGAACAGAAGAAAAAAGGAAAAATAAATCTCTGGTTCTTTAGAAATAATGCAAGTCTTTATAGCAATGTTTGACAATGAGGCACTTGAAAACTCTCTTTGTTCAGAGAACGAGAATTTTTAGAAATGTAGTACATTTTAATTCAGAACATGGTTGTCTTAAATTAATTCCTGGAGATCCTGGTGTCTTGTGGTGTTTTTTTTTTGCAGTGGTCAATTAAACAATAAACCAAATTATCTTTTTAGCTAGACAAATATGGTAGGTGTTCTTAAGGTATTTTATATTTAATGATTTAAAACATTCAGTTTTTACTATTTGTGTCTTTGGAAAATGAGTCAGCTTTTTTATGCAGGAGGTTTAACATTAAAATATTCAACCTGGCTAACTGTCTTAATAATAAAAATTAAAAATCTTTTATTTACCTTCCTGCATTGAAAAACGTTTAGTAAGCAATTTCTGACTGTACTGAATATACATAAGCAGGCTATAATATACATGAATATATACAGTACATGAATGGATATACATTAAGTATTTTATTACACAGAACTGTAAAAGGTGTTAGTGACACATTGTATAACAATACAGGTATTATTAAAAACCATATAAATACAAGTGACAAGAGTAAACAGTGAGGCAGATTTTAGAAGTGCAGAGCCATTGCAGCGCAGAGGGCAAACAATGTCCATCTATCAGTACACCACCTGCAGTTCAAGAGTAATTGACCACAGGACAGCAGAGGGAAAGTTCGCAGCCGTGTCCGAGACATCTGCTGTGTGGACAGATGAGTCCCGACGAGGGTCTGAGCATTTCTGATTTCTACAGCTTGTTCATTCCAGCATGAGACTGAACTGGTCCTGG